TCCCAGCCAGCATCTGGCCCAATATGGCCCGGTCAGTCACACCCCCCCTCCAGCAGGCCACTTCATGGGACCACCTTTCCTATAATCTGTAATTCATTTGCAGGAACATGTGGTCACTTGCAGTCACGTCGACACAACATGGACTGAGGGCCCGGTCTTTAATATTAAACACTTTATGAAGTAATCATTTTGACATCATTATAGTTATTTATAGAAATTCTGCGATGTTACTTGACGTCTCAGTGGTAGAGAGTAGACTTTTACATGAAATAAACACGACGGCAGAAGTGACGCAGAGCGGTTTTGCTGTCGTCAACAGAACCAAGCCGGTGAGTTTCGTAGGCGTGTCGCCCAGCAGAGCCTCCACTTACCGGTATGGACCCTTAAATGGGCCTTGAGGTGGGACGACTTGCCGTACATCTTCCCACAGCCGGTGAAGGGGCAGCGGTGCCTCTTCTCGGGGGACTCCTGTCTGGCCCCCGCCTTCTTGTTCCGGGGCTGTTTGGGTGCCAGCGAGCCGCGGCTGTCCCCCGCGTTTAGCCGGCAACTCCCCCGCTCCACCTTCTCCTGCGCGCCGGCTTCGCTGGCCCCGAGACATTTGCTGCCTCCGGCGTTAGGATTGCATTTGTTCAAGTCCAGCAATATCATTGCCACCATCAGTAAAGTCCTGTTCTCCTGGTTCTCTTTCAATATGTCCTCTGTCCGCCCTGGGGGTCGGCTGGGGACGCATTCTGCAGAGACATCCAGCTCCGACATCACTGTGGCAGATCCGGGCGGAGAGAGGAAACAATGTCTTTAGAGTGGCCGTATCCCCTCGAAAACAGTCGCACAGAACGGATACAGCAAAGTAAATCAGAGTGCAGTCCTCCCGGGAAACATGTGGTTAATCATCCACACGTGTCGTCTTCAATGTGACTATTCCGCAAAGACTGCGTTTTCTTGTTGAGCTTGCGGGGCGGATAAATAAACTCCCCCCTCAGGAAAGATAGCGGCTTGAATCGTCCCCCGTCTCCCTCTCTCCTTCTCCCTTTAGTTCCTTGTTTTTTTTCCCCTTTCTAAACGCCGGATCAATAACACACAGCGTTTACCGACTGAGCTATTGTGTCTGCGCTTATTCCGCCTTTCTGTGCGCTCCCACACATGCGTCAACTTGTCCTATTTTACTGCGAGCAGCACTTCTCTCAAGTCCAAGAAACAATTTCGCGGAATCCCACGGTGTCATAATAAAGTGGCTCCCTGATTGGCTGAGAGGAAACGTGACTCGGTTTTTGGAAACGTCTATTCAACGGGGTGATCGATGAGGTAATTGACCAATCACAGCAATCACAGGCTGGGCCAAGGGAAGAGAGGGCGGGACCAGACTGGTGCTACGTTCAGAGACTTAATGTGAGTGGGAAATATGGGAGTCAGAGTGCAAAGTTGGTTTTGAAGTTTCAGCTAATTTTCCAATTTTATTTATCTAATACCTTATCCTATATTAATCACATGATGAAGGGAAATTCTTAATCAAAAGTCATAAAGTTCTAAAGCAGTTCAATAACTGTATAAACAGTATCATAGGAAAATACTAAATCTGATTTCAATGTCTGAATTTAGTGTTTTTAAAGCGTTGCGGTCTACATCTCTTTTCTTAACCTTCACTCATGCATTGACATATTTGCTCCACTGACTGCTCCCTTCACATTTTGGTGATTCTCCTGAAAAATTCATTTATGGTAATCACACTTGAAATGTGACCTTGTTGTGAGAAAGGAAGCCATGTCCTCATCCTGTCAGAGTAACTCAAAACATTTATGCCTCTTGGCTGCTTACGAACACTCTGTTTCCGGGCCCTTTTTTTTTTTTTTTCCAATTTCCCATCATACACAACAACATGTTTACAACTTTATGTTCCAAGTGCTGGTAGATCAGGATATAGAGGCCGACATGAAGAGAGAGACATGTGTTTTGTTTTCTTAGCTGTAAACCAACCCAGCCGCTGTAGCCCATTATCCTTTAGCTGTGGACAGGTCTCATTTTGTGTCCCAGTTTCACAACCACGGTATGATCCGAAATTAGCACAGACCTCCACTGTCCTCAAAGCTACACTTGAACTCTTTGGTGCCAATGCAAACTCACTTATACAATAGCGAGAGGGTTTTTGTCTATCTTGCAATTTCAACAGCAACAAAAAACAGCATAAGAATGTGCACATAAAGTTGAATGTAAAATTAGATTAACTGTAACAGTCAACTGGTTCTGTAACGAATATGGAACTTTTCTCCATTTACTGTATTGTTAAAGAAAGGTCACCGGTTCGTGTCCTGGTGAGGACACCCAGGATCTTTCTGCGTGGAGTTTTGTATGTTCTCCCCGTGCAGCGTGGGTTCTCTCCAGGTTCTCCAGCTTCCTTCCACAAGGTCTAAAAACATGTTGAGGTTAATTGGTGATTCTAAATTGTCTATAGGTGTGAATGTGAGTGTGCTTGGTTGTCTGTCTCTAATTATAGCCCTGTGATAGACTGGTGACCTGTCCAGGGTGTCCCCTGGCTTTGCCCTATGTCAGCTGGGATAGACTCCAGCCCCCTGCGACCCTAGTGAGGATTAAGCGGTGTATAGATGATGGATGCATTGTTAAAGAAGACATTCAGTCAGCACTTCCTGCATTATCTATAACAATTCAATTGCTTTTCCTGTAATGTATGAAAGATTATGAGGTTTTGTAAGAATTGTGGCAGTTTATGCGGTTATGATGTCACCATAATACCTTTACAACTGCTGGGTATGTGCAAGTTACATTTTACAGGGTTACATTTTACACAATGACACATCAAAATATGTTCAGGAGTTTTGACTGTAATGGGCAGTTGCTGCTACTTTCAGCACTTTGTGATGCACTGGATGTTTCATAAGTGACTTTTTTACCATTTCTTTAATCAACGAGGCCGCAGCTCTCTGTGCTTGATCACATCTTTCCTAAATAGTTCTGATTTAAAAAATGAGAGAGAGAAAGGATGGTGAGTATGTGGGTCATGCTTTCTGTAAGAGAGACTTTAATGCAGCCAGTCACTTTAAAGTGTAACAAGACTCCTCTAGTTAAAAAAAGGAGAGCTTCCAGTGCAGTGGGAGGTTCACCCACGCCCAAAGTTCCTAGAAAATCCTACTCAGTGTTAGTGGGGTCGGCATTGAGCAATGCCGCCTCAGGACAGTTTTCCCTCAGTGGGAACTTTGTAGACATTATTCAGCTCCATGTTCTGCCCTGCAGCTGTTTATATGAGTAGCAGCCACACATAGAGGCGTTTTAGTGCAGGTTCGTCGCACATGATCCGAACAAAGTAAAGTCCTAATGCCTGTGCTTTGTCAACAGAAACACAATGATGCGTGCTGACACTATTGTGTACATTTGTAACTGCACCACAGTAACAATGTAGTCGTGTTTCAGGTTCGATCGGGGAGTGCCACGCCTCTTCTGAGCAACCACGAAAATATCCTCGACAGTTGAGGGCAGGTCCTGTCTGCACTGCAGCAACGAGACACGACCTCAAAGCAGGTTTAAATAGATCCCCTTATTTGTGTATCTATTGCTCGCCCGATATAAGAAACAAAGTGTTCAGAAAAGTTAAGGACGCCGGTGGGAGTAATAAGACAAACTTCCTATTTGTGCACCACAGACTGAAGCACTGCTGGGACTTTGCGTCCTGTTCCAGGATCGCCCCACGCTGGAACTCCGCCCCCCACTTTGCTCGAATCGGTGGCAGAACCCCCAAATTTCCAGGAAAAAAGAATCTGGTTGAAACTAGGGTCTTGGCCGGACACGTTAGTTTGTGTAGAATGCAGCTGCCCTCCTCGTCCTCCTCCTTTAGCTGAAGCCTACAAACATTTCCGTGGAAGAGGAGGCGCTTCCTCGGCTACTGCTCCTCGCTCTCCTTCGCGCGAAAGTGCAAGAGTTCAAGAGTGCACGGCGCATGTGGGTCATGTTGTTGTGTTGACAGGGTGCGCTGATTTTGGCCAAGATAGGGCTTGTTTTTGAGCGCGTGTGCGCGTGCGTGTGATGTAACAGAGACAAGGAGCCGTGCCACGTGCTGAACAAAATGTTCTGTTCCACGTGCGCCGTCGGAGCTGACGCACCACTGGCCGGCTGTCCGGAGCGCACAGGCCCCTCCACGCTCCCACAGCCAGACAGACTGGAAGACCCGGTCCAAGGGCGTCTTCTGTCAGTCAGGCAGGCAGCGCTGCACACTGACAGGGCAGACACAACAACAGCGTGAGGCCTGCACAGTAGGGCCAAGAAAAAAAAAAACATGTAAGTGCATGCAAAGCAACTAAATCGAACATGGAGTAATAAATTGATCACATAGGGATAAATAATTAGAACCCTGCATGCTGTGATAGTAAGTAAATAAGCACATTTACATCAGTATGATTTCACATGATAAGCCTGGAGTATTTCACTGTCATCTAGTAGATGAAGTGTGGTGAAAAGAGGTTTGCATTCTGAAAGAAGTTCAAGGCTGTGTTTCTGCCTCTTGGCATTGGGACAAGTTTTAAAAATGTCAGCCCACCCAGCAGCACCTGTCCCACTCTTCTCACCAGAAACTACAGGGTGGCAGTGAGAGGGGGTGGGGGTCTTACATTTTGCCATAACTGCAGAACAGTTTCTATGATGTGCCTCCTTGCTTTATGGGTTACACACTGTCATGTTTCTTGGCTCATGTGCAGCTCGGATCATGAATCAAGTCATAGAAATGCAGATAGATAGATTTATTTGACTTTATTCCAGGGGTTCGAGTACAGGGTCAGCCACACTGCAGGGTTAAAGGCCCAATTTTCTGGTCAGCAGCCCAAAGCCTTAAAGCCACCACTACCCCATCAGACATTCCTCGTGTTTTGTTCTGCAGGTTTCAGATCGTTGTCTGTGAAGATTCTCATTCATCCAGGTCATGGTTATTCTCGTAGTTTAATCGCAGCAACTCGACTTACTTGAGTTTCTTGAAGACGTTTCGCCTCTCATCTGGAAGAACTGATGAAGAACTGATGAAGCCTCTTGGATGAGAGGCGAAACATTTTCAAGAAACTCAAGCAAGTCCAGTTGCTACGATTAAACTACGATTTTACATCATTGTTCCAATAATCAGTTTAACCAAAATTATAAATTTCTTTCTCTTTCACTCTTTTTCAGTGAAAACTTGTTTCTGAGAAACATCCCGCCTCCCCAAACAGACAAAACAGGACTCAACATGCTGGTATGATGTTACACACATTGCTCACATCAATCACACACACATGATAAGCATCAGTCTTTTGTTATTTACTGGTTAAAAATTCAGGTGAAGTAAGAACAGACACGACTCAGAGTACCAATCTATTTAATTGTTTATTTAACAATGCATGCCAGACATGATCCTATTCACATTGAAGAATACAGATTTGTATTTGCATCCAAATACTCACTACTTTGATTTCATATTATAATCTCTCTCTATCTTTCTCGCAGTCATCATTACAGGTCATCTCTGTACACGCTGAGTGGAAGAACTGCATGCATTTAAAGGACATCAAATAAAGTGTGACCAGTAGAGGGATAGGTCCCTTTTAGTTGAACAACATCAGCAATTATTGCAGAAAAAACATGTGCGTGAAACTCTCTTTAGCTTACGGGTCACAGGTTTCATAGGAGGGAAGCAAATCTGTTGATTATCATCATATGCTCATGATTTCCTCCAAACTGTAAGATATAGTGTAGGAAAATATTTGAAAAATACTATACACTGAGATTCTGTTGGGTTGTGTTTTGTTGGCATGCCTCCTTGTTATTCGTGTCATCTGCATGTCTTGGTTCCCACGCAGTTAATTTATACGCACGTATGCACACATGCACACCTCCTATCAACACCTTTCACCACAGTCATGTCAACGTATCACAGAACCATTTCAGAATCATGTACATACGAGTTTATACATGCCACGGACATGTATGTTGTCTCATATATTCCTTACTGTAAGGATAAAGAAATTATAAAAGAATATTTCCATTTCCTATTATAATAGGCCAAATAATAGGGTCTAAACGTTCAGTCCAACACGGTCGTCTGTTTTTATACTTCACCATGCAAAACTGAGTTGAGCTCTATGACCTATGCTTGGGTAGCCCTGCCTGCCACAGCTGAGTAGACAACAGGTCAGGTCAGGTCTACTCAGCTTATTTCCATTTGGTTTGACAAAGTTAGGTTTGGTTCAAAATGTAAGGGTCAAACACAGTTCTCCATAAAATGAAAAAAATGGAAATTTAAACATCTCTGGGTGAACAAGTCTATCAGGTATGAAGACATTCATTCATATACTATTGCCATTTCTGAAGACATAAAACACAAAATATATAGCTTTCCTGTGATCCCCGAAGATTGTGTGTAAGACTCATAAAGCACAGTGATTATATTGGAAGCCTTCTGCTTAAGACTAACTCATATCTTTCTCTCTTTCTTGCTTGTTTTCTATCTGCCATGCCTCCATGATATACTTTCTGCCTTGCATCACTGGGGTAATATTGTCCCTGAGCACTGACCTGGGGTCAACCTGTCATCTCTTAACCAGTCTGTCACTTACATATTTGTTGAGAAAATATGATTTTTTTTGTATGTATTTCATGACTACAACATTCCATTGAAGTGTTTAACTTTCCAATGATCTATATTGACCATGTGTTGGCACCACCATTTATGTTGACGTTGTGGTTAGAAGGGCTTTCTATGTATTGTACAAAGAACGATCTGGTTTCTGTTCATGGAGACTCAGCCTAAGACCACAGTTGTATTGTATCGTTTGTAGCTTTGAGACAAATTAAACATTATCAACTCTGGGAATTTAACAGTGTGGATGTTTGGATTATCAGCTTGGGTTGGGACACATAAGTAAGATCAGTCAATTCAAGCAAGAAAGAAGAGTTACTGCAACAGCAACAGCCATCTGGCGATGCTATATCCCCATCCTTATGTCTCTGTTTCACGTGCAAATAGATTTTTCCCTTTTTTAAAGATTTTTTGGGGGGGGGGGCATTTTTGCCTTTATTTCGAAGGGGACTGTGGAATAAAGGCAGGCGATACGGGAGAGAGAGCAAGCGAATAACACGCAGCAAGCAATCTCCAGCCCGGTTTTGAGCCGGCGGTTCACAGCTCAGGGTAAATGTGCCCATGTAGTACCATAAACCATTCGGGCATCAGGTTTGCCCTTTAAATAGATGATTTCTTAAACTATGAAACTATTATTTCCAATGAGATCTCTTATGTGTGTTGGTGAATTCAAATAAATGTCCATACAAGCAATGATACAGTCTACTAATTTCCCTCACTCTGTACATCAGACATGTCCAAAGAGAGCAACAAAGGTCTATGAGAAAATAATCACTGATATTTGGCCTCTGTGAATAGAGAAGACAAAGATGAGAAATTTCACAGATTTTTGAATCACTTCAGTCCCCACATACTCCATCCATGCCCAAAAGGCACCCTAAAGTTTGGTATACTGGCAACTGTGTATTGCCGTGTCAACATTAGAAAATTCTCATAAACTGCTTGATAAAACATACAATAAAAACTACTTTAAATACTTTAAATATGATTGAAATGTACAGTATATCAGACAGTTCTATATTTAATAAATAATATAATACATCATTATTTAGTGCATGTAGATGGTCATCTTTTATTAAATTTAAAAGCTTAATTAGAAAATACTTAAAATTCGACAAAAATATCACTGAGAAGATATAAATATTAATTTTGTAATTCAAACAGGCATTTACTGTAATTATCAATAATGAGCAAGAAAAATGTCAATAAATAGGATCAATCTCAAAATAAATGCAACATGATTAAACTGAATTGTAATCGTGAGAAAATATAAAAGAAACATTAAAAATCAGTAAGAATTCTATTGATTTCTCCTATTCTTGTTTTTACAAAGCTATCAGAGAAAGGCATCTTCCTCTCCTTCGGACTTCTTCTATTCCAATAAGAAAGAAAAAAAGATACAATTTTTTAACACTGATCTGGCTTTTATTTTTTTTTTTATAGTAATAACCCCATGTTTCATCGTCCATGTCACTTAAAATGCACGCCTTTCTTAAATCTCAGCTAGAATGCATATGCTTGACAGCTTTTTTTAGAGTTGACTCACAAATTGGCTCTTCGTGACCTGTATATAATTTGTTATTGGCTTTGTCATCGGGCATTTTCTTTATCTTGAAGTCTCTTTTTTGCAGTGGTTCACTTTGAATGCAATGAAATAAAAAATAAAGGAGAAATAACAAATGAAAGACATTTATGGAGTAGATGAAGGACGGATCCATTAGTTGTGGTGGATGCAAAACCATTGCAAAATGATGCCACTGCCAACACCTGAAAGAGGGGGGCGGGGCTATGAGACAGCTACTGTTCATTAAGTGGAAAGATTTTTGGTGTCTGGCGCAGGCAAAGAAAAGTTCCCATCAGGTTCGCCCAGCAAGCGTTGCCTCTGACATTGGCTCACAGCGCCCTCTTGTCCCCATCTTTTGCAATTGCACTTGTTAAAGCTCTCCGGGATCAGGTGTGAACTTAAGCTTATCTCCGAGTGATATGTAGGATTTCAATGATCGACCATATGCAAGTGAACATTACCATTAACAAAACTCTTAAATCGTACTTCCTTTCTTATTCGTTGGCCTACAAAGCAGTGACTACCCTCACTCACTTGATACAGACTTCAAGCAGTGCCTCAAGCTCGAGTTGACCGGAGACACATGACGGAGTAATGACTTTTTGACTGGAGTGTGTTCAAATGCTGTTTTCTGTTTCTAACTTAACTAAAAAAAAAAAGAAAAAAAAAGTTATCATAAGTGTCATTTTATTTAAAAATGTATGTGATTGCCATTTTTCCTCCGATGCTACAATATGTATATGAAAGACACATTCGATATTCCCTTAAAAAATGAAGTAAATGTTGATTACTTGAAAAGTGTGTTTGTGTATCCAGAGGTAAGTTGTTGCCATGTTACAGATATCATTTGAAGTGCAGTTAAGTCAAACACTTAATAATTCCTTTATGATGCAGCCAGAAATGTTCACTTCTTTCTGCCTGCTAGTGCTGGGGTCTTACAAGTTGGAGATAGGATTATATGAAGAGAGGAAAACGTATTTGAAGCAAAAGTTCTGCAATAGTAATGACGCTATGCTAAGACAAAATGACAAAATGAGGTGACTGTTTCTTTCCTCTCTCGTCTCTCAGACTTGACAGTATCTACCTATAATGCAGCTAGGAGTAACAGTATACTTTGTCTGACTAGCGTGACTGATATGTGATGTAACACAGTGACAGATGTCTACTTGATGTAAAGGTGGTGGGTGGAAGACATACAGTACAAATACACCTTCCATTGCCATAACACCCCATTGAGAGTTACTTAGCTACAAGAGGTAAAAACTAGTCTAGATTCATAGCTCTTTGTTTTGACTGGTGTACAGTAGGACCCCTTTATCTTCCATCCCTTTCCCCTCTGATTTATGATTCAGGGTAAAGCTGCCCTTCAACACTGACTATGAATGAACTTTTCTAACCTAAAACTTTAAGTGAATAAGAAAAGGTAGATCTGGTCCACATCAGCATCTACGGGCAGCTTCACCCTGCTTTCACACATGCCCTTGGCCCTCTCAGATTCCTTCCTGGTCCTAACAGTGTGTGAGTGCACTGACGTGTCCTTGTCACGTGTAGTTTTGTCTATCAAAGCTGCGGAAAGCTGACGGAGCCGCCAGCTTTCTCATGGAGAGGTTGTCAGTCTTGGCCGTCTCAGGCCTTGCTCCAGACTTGCTCCTGAGGAAGGGGTTTCTGGGTCCTGCCAGACCCCGCCCTCCAGGCCCAGGCCCCCTGTCTGCCCCCAGACCCGGTCCCCTCTCCATCCTCTCACTCACCGACAGGCTCTTCCGGTGTGGAGGGGCCAGCGTGAGGGAAGGATGGGAGTCGTCTGAAGAGCAGCTGTTTGCTCGCTCCAGCCTGGAGAAGGGGGAGCAGAGAGGGGCCCCACTGGGCCCGCCAAGGCCCCCTAGGCGAGGGGTATCTGGGGCTGGCATCAGGTCCTCAGGGTCCTCTGGATCAGACTCTGTATGACTAAGCTCTGCCTCTCTCTCCGGGTGAGAGGAACCAATGTCTGACGGCTTATCAAAGGGGAATGAGGTGGAACCTCCAGGTGAGTTTGAGCGTTCTACAGGGGTGTATGGAGATGAGACACAGCGTGTATCGATGCAGTCAGTGATGCTGGTGTACTCTGCAGCCTTTACCTGGACTCCTGCCCCCAGTCCACCATAGCAGCCTCTTGGTGTGAACATGAGGCTGTGGGACTTGACCAGAGGAGGCTCGTCCAGAAATCCTGTGCCTGCTGTAGAGAGGTAGCGGCTGCTCTTAGAGCGCTCGAGCAGCCCTGCTGAGGGAGGTGGGGATGGTTCCATATCCCAAGGAGGTAAGGTGGTGTCTGGTAAGAGGTGTGCTGAGCACAATGACAAATCAGCAGCTGCACTGTCATCAAACATAGCTCCAGCTGTTCCACTGCTGCCTGCACCGCCCTCCGAGTGCCTGTCGCCCAAACCACTGGTTGCGGTGCTGCTGAAATCCCGGCCTCCAGGCAGCACCGTCTCCATGGTATCTGATTGCAGCGAGGCGTCTCTCTGGAGCGGTGGGACCACACGAAGAGGATCCAGAAAGACCTCGGCAGGCCCCACCTCCTCAGATGTTGAGACATAGATATCAATGCATGATGATGGACGGTGCTGCTGGGAGACCGACAGCGTCGCAAGTGGGAGGGGCTTAGACTCCTTGGGGGCAGCAGCTGAGGATACAGATTGTGAGCTGTTGGCTCGGTGGAGACTCAGTGAGCGCTCTTTAAAGAAGCTTTCAGCTCGTTCAGCCCCACTTGCACGTTCACCACCTCGACCACCACCAACATAAAATGAGTGGCTCCTTGTCCGTGTAGCCATGCCAGTGGGAGAAGGCGGGGACATGGAGCCCTCAGCTGGTCCCTCCAGTGCCTCCTGTAGGCGGTAGGCGTTCCCTTCTGTGCTATTAAAGCTGCTTTGACGGAGGATGTATGCTGCTTCTGGGCACTCAGCCTGGCGGATAATGTATGCAGAGTCAGTGCAGTCAGAAGAAGTCCGAGAACGTACTTTGTTGACCTCCCCGCGCTCAACACCCGTCACACGCTCCAGCGCAACAGCAATTCTTCCAATCAGCTCCTCCATCTGGGCCAGCCGAATATCAACAGTCTGCAGTGATGCCTTCATGAAGTGTTCCCTCTCATTGACTTCCTCCAAACGCATTGCCATGTTCTCCACCCTGATAGAAAAAGAAGGAGGAGACAGAAGACAATAGAAGCATTAGAGAGGAAAGCAGCAGGGGGGAATGGTGGAGAGATGAAATGCTTCCGAGGAAGAAAATGACTGAACACACACAATGGCATTTGGTGTTAAAAATACACATTTTAAAATGCAATTAGAATGTCAAAATGGCAAAATTGTATGGGCAGCTTTTTATGTCAACACTGGCTTCCCACTTTGTACTACATGCAGTCCAAGTCTTAAAAATAGGAAGCAGCAGTTCAGTAATTGCTGTCCCTGGAACCATTTTCATAGTATTTTGCAGCTCTGTTTCTTTTTCCACCTCCTACTAGACCTCCACTAGACCACAGCATTTCCAAATGTGCTCCAGTCTTCTGCGTTTGCAGTGAAATTGTAAATACAGTTTTTATGTTTTCTCTCGTTGCCTTTGATTTCTCACGACGCTGTGTGTTTGGCTCTCTTGTCCAACATAGAAAAGGAAGGATGGAAATAGCATAGAGACATCATTTCAGTTTAGCCATGTGTCTGACCTTTCTGAAGTGACTCTGATTCTCTCATCATTAGAGGAGTGGAATCTGTCATCCTTCTCTCTGAAGTACTCTTCAATACATTGCTCCTCGAAATCGTGGACTTTCTTCAGCTCGTCCTCTGTGATGAAAAGCTCTGTGGGTCAAAGAGGTTGAGATTGTTAATGCTACAGTGCCACATTATACTGATTGATAGTAAGGCAACGGCAAACACTGCAGATTTGTGTTTACTATAGCACTAAAACTACATTTGAAAAATGATTTGTAACGACATAAATAAATTACAATTCTAGAAACACTACTATTTACACTGTTGCATCTATGCCCACTTTCTCAGGCTTGTTAATATATATCTGCCACTCACTCAGGCCATAGTCCCTCTCGTCATCATCATGCTTGCGCCAGCGACAACACAGATGCTTGAGGACCATAGTTATGTGACTGAAGATGATGAGGGGTGGAGGAAGGACTGGGCGTTCATGGAAGGTCATAATGAGCTGGTAGCGCTGGAACTTCCATACCTGGTTGGAGATGGACTTCACCTCGAAGAATGTATTACTATGGACAATTACAGACAGAGACGCCACACCAGCCAAGAAAGATTACATCCACTGAAAGCTAAAATAAACCGAATCAAGTCATCAGTGGCACAGCAGAGACTTTTATGTCATTTTTGATTGGGTGGTTAATGAACTGATTCCCTTTGCATGCTGCAGCACTGCTGAGCTGAGTGCAGACACTGAGAATATGTGGAGATAATGTAGAGAAACAAACGCAAAAGCCGGCTAAATAAGTGTTTGCTGCCATATATAATTTGATTAAACCTTCAATTTAACTCCTGTTTATTCCATTGTGCACTTTTTGGTAATTACACTGACAAATGCAAAGAAGAGGATGATTGCCCTTGCTGCATGGATTACACAGAGGCACAATAACGCATCATTAGCATGATTATGTCACTGTGGAAGAAGCACCATCCCATTGTGTTAATACAATTTGCTACCCGCCTCTAATGAGTGTGGCTTAACAGCAGCTCAAACAGAAACTAAAGTCACTTCTCTTGCTCTCTTTCATGCACACACATGGAATACACTCAGGAAAAGCCTTAGAGGCAGTTATATCTAATTTATCTTAAACGGTTTACACTAGATATTGCTATTTAGATACACCCATGTCTTGGTGATACTTTGTGAGCGTTGGAAGACAAAAAAAGATGATTTTTATCATCATGCTGCCACAATAAGTGTGTTTTATGTCCTGAGGTGTCAAGTGGAAAGTCTGGGGAGTATACATACTTGAACACAGCTATGAGGAGGTTGACCAGCAGTATGTTGGCCACCAACAAATAGCAAGCCATGATCGCTGGGACAATCCAAGCACCCGTCTTGCAGGGAGGCTGGGCCACCACTACCCCGTCCTCTAACGTGATGTTCTGCCCGCAGGGAGCTGCACAATGTCACAAAATGAAGAGACACACATAGAAGTCAATACAAGATAGAATATGCCTTTAGACAGAGAATTCTATCCATTAATAACAAAATGTCAGTGGAAAACTTTGGATGCACGATAAATTTGAAATACATGCAGACGCAAAACATGAACGGAAGATGTACAGTCAAGACAAACTTTTTAAAAAGCGTATTAAATGAAAGAAAACGTAAAACATTCAAAGACGTACTGTACACTGAGTACAAGACCACAACAACAAACAAAGAGACAAGCAGACCTGAAAATAACAAACAAAACGCATAATTACAGATTTTGCAAACAAACAAGAAGCATAATTTGCTTTTATGCTTCTTTTCTAAAAGAAGGGATTAGAAAGAGTGGACACTTTAATGGCAGGGGCTCATGTTCAGAAATGTGCATCTGACAAAAAAATAAAATACACAAAAAAAAGCACATTTGTCATGTGTCATCACAATTTGTGTTTACAATATATTTAAACACATCGTCAGTGTTTAAAATATATTGTCACATATGTGAGCCATAGCTTCATTCTGCAATGGCTGATTGCTCTGAATCATTTGAAATGTATTTAGGATACATAGTATGTTTTTTCCATCCGTGATGGTTCAGTTGCTGTGGCTTATCTGGGGAACATTCAGCATTTGGTTTGTTTGCCTTTGAGATTCATCTTATCATGCTCATCATTGCTTCATGTTCAAATTTCTTTTTTTCTTTTGTTTTTTACACACAATGCAGCCCAAAGACAGAGAACTGAAGTAATTTTTCTATTTGATTTTTTTATTTTTTTTTTTACCATCAATAAATTTGGATTTAAAAACTCTGACAACTGAACCACGTGAAAAAACAGATTACAGATGATGAAAGGTGGCTAATAAATACGTTCTGGTGTGGATGTGTGTATGCTTGCGTTTTATATCTGTATCCAGTGATATTGATGTTTAAACTTCTTTGCTCAGTCATGCTAAATGCTTGCTCTTAAAATGGTTGAAATATTTTGGCAATGCTGCACTTGCTCCAGTGAGAAGCTGAGCCGGCGTAAAGGGAGGGTGATATGGTTCATGTGACAGACGGTGTTATCATGGCAGGGTCACTGCTTCAAATGAAAATAATCTGAAGTCGAGTACCAAAATGAGGGGAGGAAACATCAAAGGAATATCAAACTTTAAAACTTTGATAGTTCCTCTTGATGTGACAGCTGACCAAAAACTAAGACCATAAAAATACTAAAACACATTTGAAAAGTGCTACTGCCATGTAACAGTGCCATTTGTCAGCCAGTGCCAAAATTAGTCAGGGTAAAGTTGCTTACAGGATATGACCTGAGGTCAAGCTACTGGTTGGCTTCGTCAAAAGATTTAAAGATGATAAATTATCTCATATAACCAGGCCTTGAACCACTTCAGATTCTCTTAACCCTATTCAGGACTTTCATGTTGCCATACGTAGAAAGTCTTTCGGGGTCCACTGGACCCCAAGAAAGAATATGTGCAAAATATTGGTTGGTATTCATTATAGACTTTTATACTATGTTAAATACATTTTCTGATAAGTTGATGTGTTTTTGGTTCCAAATGCATGACAAATGTCCCTCTTTTAATATTTAAAAAAAAAAATCTCAAAAACAAAAAACAATACCTGTCACCTAAACCAAATGGCCTGGGGTCCAAAAGACCCCCAAAGTCCTGGATAGGGTCAATCTGCTCAAATTTACAGAAAATGCTGCTGATATCCAGTAGCTGACCCAAGATACCAACACATGAGCGCAACTTTAGCCTCATAGAGCGTGGAGCCGCATGCACGCTTTTGTCTCAAGTGGCCTGTAGTGGCTAGGAGTGGGCATGACATGGTGGCAATGTGAGGATGATGAAGGAGAGGTGGGAGAGGTAGATGTGGTTAAATTGAGGTCTATATCTATAGATTTACTGGGATTTTGACTGCACTGGGCAATGTGGGATGGACCATTACTACGCCAGGTTCCGTGAGTTCGAAAGTAATTTTCGACCAGCCAGAGTTTTTCATTCAGCCTGTGCTGTAACTTCCTACTATGCATATCTGAAACAAAGAATGAAAACATTATTTCAGATCTCTTCTCTTTGGGCCACTCCTCACATTCTGTACACACCATCAGATATACTACCATACAAATAGACAGAACAGCACACAAATGCACTCTCACGCTCAGGACACTTCCTCGCAGACACTTCTCACAGTCTGTTTTTGATTTATTGAGTCTAAATGTCACTCTGTCTACATGGTGTAAAATAATGTAGAGACAAAAAAAAAGATCAAGACAAACTCACAGTACACATTTATGTCCTTATGTAAGAAAGCTTATGGTGGTGTCCCCAACTCATACACAATCTAATTGGAGGTGTAATATGCCGTGTTTTTAATGTGTTACAAAAGGACATCTACGAGTAATATTTCAAGTAGTGGCTGAAAATAAAGTGTGTTTTTGGTCATACTACTTGATTCTCTCCTCAGGGAAAGGAACTATTCTCCCCTGATTTAACAAAAGTAAATGTTATATTTATATTCAGTGTTCAGTTTACACTCTAGTCCCGAACTTACGGTCGATCTGGTCGGCAAACACCTCTCCGTAGATCATCCAGTAAGGCATGAAGAAGATGTTCCTAGCTAGCATCCAGGATGGGTCTTCATTATCGTTGAGAATGGCCTGACGTGCCACCCCAAAACTCATCAGCACCACCAACATGATGATCACAAAATACATCATGTCGATCATCTGACAGAAGGAGGGAGATAGAGGAGGATTGTTAAAGAGAGAAAGAAAGAGTTGAGTGGTTTAAGAAGAAAGGGGGAAAAAAGGGGGGGGGGCGCGTTTGGTAAGAATATTAAAGAAAAGGAAATAATGAGGCAAAGCATGGGAAGAGGAAGGAAGCAGGTTCTATTGGAGCTGCACAAGCAGTTAAAAGAGTTTGATGAATGATGGTCTGCATTTGCATTTTTTGATTACTATTCCTTGCAGTCTTAGTTAGTCAATTAAGATGTAATTTAATTTATTTTCAAATGAAACCTAAAGCCAACATTTAAAATTCACTTAATTTAGGTTCATCCCAGATTGATTGAGGAGGTGACAGCACATCCTCCCTCCAGGCTCATTTATTCTCCAGTAGCCTCTGAAATGTTCGGTTAAGACTGTCACTCACTGTCTTTGTGGAGACCTAAAACATATTTTAGACACTGTTGCACAGTTACAGTAATTACTTTTGAAAATTACAAAGTACTGTACAAATTATTTTTGGCAGAAATGAGAATTACCATTAATTACAATGCAAAATGTGTGTGTGTGTTTTTCCCCCCTTTACTTCTCTGAGCTGCTTTGACTTCAAACCAGCTTACGGTTACACCACATATGCCAATTACTTGACTAAATCATTTAATGCCAATCCAAACCTCTCCCTTTCTCTCTAACTAACTGCTGATTTTCATATCAAAGAGTTTGTGTCCAGTGCTACACAGCCCATGTCAAAGGGTGTTGAGCATCAGATGGATAACAGATTTGGCTCTTTGATCCCCTCTCCACTTGTGTCTTCATGTGTGTATCGGAGGCTCTGATCTTGCGGTGCTCGAGATCAAACAATACGATTAAGAGGCACAGAAGCTCCATTAGAGCCGGGCTTGCACATCACCTCCACATTAAACCTTTGTAATCATGGAAATCAGTGAGCTATTACAATCCGTATGGATCATGTTGAGCAAAATCAGAGGGTGAACAGATATAAATGAAGAATGTGGAGGGGGGAGGGAGGGAAAATATGAGCGGTACTGCAGATAGAAAAGACAGAACGTCAGACCCACACATACAGTGAACCACCCCTGCCTCTTCTCACCATCTTGCCAATCATCATCACATAGGGACCCAGGTACTTGTTGACTCCAAAGATGTCGAGCAGCCGGATGTACCAATAGATGATGTTGACACAATAGATGACCCGCCCGTAGCTCATGAGCGGCGGCTCCTGGAGACGCAGAACCATGCCGACAGAGAATATGAGGATGGCCATGAGGTCTGTGATGTTCCAGTACTCCTGAAGCCACACCTTCACCTTCTGTAACAGCTTCCCTGGTTCTGACATCAAGATCTAGGAGGGGAAATTATTAGAAGAAAGGGAAGGAAGATGCTCAAATGCAGAAATGATGGAAAGTGGTGCTCATGAATACAGAAATATAAGGGTAAAGAAAAAAAAAAAGTGACCCTGAAAAGTGAATAGAAATGCATTTCATTATGGCCACCATGAGAGGGCAGTATGAGTTCACCCATCAGGGAATCTATCACAAATCTGAGGAGGTATTGTAGTGCAGCTGCAAATGATGTGACACAATGATTAATGCATTTCATACACTTACAGTACAGACAAAGCCACAGTGTGAGGCTGAACATAATCCAAGGCCACAAACCTGCATTTCTCTATTTATTTTTCATTTTGCTCTTTTTTCTGTCTTTGTTTGCCCACCTCTATGTCCTGCCTTCACCTCCACCACTCACCCACTACCTCTCCCTCCCCCCTTTGACGTGCTCATTTGCTTCCACTCCATTGATCTATCAACGTTTTCCCTGTTATGAGCTGTTTGATGATATGGACATAATACTTAGCCTCTGCCCGCCAGCCACTGAACTCATTGGATTTAACTGTAGGTGACACTATGGTGACACCCTCTGTGTTTTTTAGCTCACTGTGGGAGACAGATCACTGATTATATTCAACACATTTCTGCAATTACGGTACACCGCTAGGATACCTCTCTCATCTTCTCAATGCCATTGGTGAAAATGTAAGCGATGACAATCCACTCTTGAGGAGAAGGCCACAGGTCCATCTTGACCAGGACGATGTAGTTAAACAGCATCAGGTAACCAACGTATGCCATCTGCATTAAAAAATACAACAGCAGATTAAATTCAGCGGGATTATTTGTATTTGCATGTTTTTGTGCTTTTTCTGTCAGCAAACTGTTTAGTTCTCTCTCTGCAAAAAATGGCTCAAAGGGCTGCAGGAAAAAGGATTTTTCCGTGTATCTGTTCAAATGAAACATTTATTACAGAAGGATTGACCCTCATTACACCTCAGTTTAATGCAGTTTTCAAGATCTGATAATAGATCCATCATGTGTTTCCTGTAGCTGTTTAAATCCTTGTGCACTGAGTGCTTTCAATTTTCCTTATCTAAACAGATTTGGAGGGCTATTCAGTATCATTAACTTAGAACAACAACAAAGGCTTTAACATATTTAAACCTGCAGCGTAGAGTTTGTGTCTCCCCCTTCTGGCAGCAAGAATAACTACACAAACACTGCATGCGTGCTTATAAACGTATGCCTGCAGTGTACAGTCGCTCGCTTTCTTTTTTTTGAGTGTAATCCTGAATGAATGTCACCACAGAAATTAGATTTAAAACTCCAGGATTCAGGGAGATTTACCTGCCGCTTATAGGCTTAATCAGCATTGTGTGAACATGTTTGGCGAGGGCTTGAATGTAGCTGACATTCATTTATATGTAAAAGTTCCGCACTCCAGCTTTAAACTCCAGATTAAAGTAATAACAAACAAACCCTGAACAGTTTCTCTTCTGACTACAAATCAAGCATTCCTCTGATGGAACCAGGTGAAGTGATTTTAATAACGTGCGACTGAGACTGTTCTCATTCAGTCCCACACGCGCAGTTGGTTTGTGCGATAACTTTGACTGCACTCTACAGCAGGTGACAGGTACGAATGCAAATCAGGTAATGAGCTGAAGACCCTGTTTTGACTCTAACTGAGCATCTGCTCTGTGAGCGCAATTATTGAAATGTACCGTGGAACATTTTTCTGTAACCTGAAGGGCAGAAAGGAGAAGACAAGGGGAGTAAATAGCCAGAGAAAGCATGGAACAAAGGGCAAAGAAACTATTTTCTCTGCACAAATAAACAGCGAAATCCCTGCAGGTGATAAAGAGATGCTTTCACTGGGCAAGCAAATTGAAAAAACACAAGAAGGAGGGTATGGAAGACAAAAGATCAGCTTGTATCACATTACACACACACACACTCGCAGGCAGACGCTGTACCACACACAGAACCTTGATGTACAGTGCTGTATAGAAAGATGTCAAGACACTAAACATTCCCTTTCTCATACATGTAAACACTGAAGATTAACTTTAAATCAACTATTATTTACTTATTGTATTAGTTAACCCAGTGGTAATATGACATGACTCAGAGGTTTTGGTGTTTATTTACACTGCCAATACAAACCCTCCTTGTCTGATTTAGTCCTTTTCCCTCCCTCACTCCCCTGTACTTTTCTCACCAAGCTGCTTCCATCGGTCTCTCCCATCTCGTTCACACTTAACTTTCCCACCCCAGTAAAGCTGGGTAATGGCAGGGTGGAACAGAAGGTTAATGACAATGGAGGCAGTGCGAAAGTAGAAGCTAACAGCAGGGAACCCGCAATTGATGCTGTTGCAGGAATACAATAAGCAGTGACAGTGCCAAGAGGAAACAGGGTATGTAGGTGGTGTTTCCGAAGCCGACACTGACCGTATGGAACCAGAACTTGACAATTGGAGCGTTGTAGAACTCGTATATCTTGCGTCCCATGGGGATAAGGCGGTGGCGCTTCTGAACCTCCTCGACATCCTTCTTTCTGGATGTCTCTGTGGTTACCTTACCCAGCATCGCCTGGGCCAATGCAAAGCCCACATGGAACGAGGGAGGAAAGAGCGAAAGGTACGAGGGATTAAGGGAGGAGAGTGTGGGAAGAGGGAAGTGTGACGGATTGGAAAGGCGTGGGAGGAAGAGTCGGGAGGGGAATGCAGAGAGAGAGGATGGAGATGAAGACAATTATTTGGAAAGGGGGGGGAGGTGGGATGAGTAGAGTCGAATAACAGAGAAATAAAGAGAAAACAAAAAGGAGAAGGGGGAGAGGGTTACATTATGGGCTACAGCACAGTTTTCAATACAATAATCAAAGAAGCAAGCACAGGCAATGCCATCATTCCAAAATGTGAGATGTGTGTTTGAGGTGGAGTTTGGGTGAAGGCTGGTAACACAGTATGACGCAGACATGGACACTCATGGATTGTGTCTCAGACAACGATTAGGAGGCAGAAGAGAGACGAGATAATGACAGAAGGAAGACAGAAAAAGAAAAGGAAAAAGATAAGACATAGATATCTCATTTCACTCTGACACATTTCCTTATCCATGAGAGAGGGTTCGGAGCCCACTGTTTTTATGGGTCATGGTCTTGATGTCAAAGCAACACCAGATCGCTGAGGGAGTTCATTAGTAGAATTGTATTGTAAGTCGGGAAGTATTGCAGACCTGGGCAAGGACAAATATTAAAAGCTGGTCAAAATATTAGAAATACACAATAGGGAGTGAGTCTAAGTCCCAGAGGCCTTTGAACAGGTACAATAGTGATTTTACTATTGCTATGAAATCAGCAAGAAATCAAGGGAGAAGTCACTACTAGTACGGAAAGAAGGAATTTTCCAAATATGTGAAACATACACAGCCAAAGTTTTGTCCAAGGCACACACAGACAGGGCCTTCAGGATGAACAGATTCAGATGCTAGTGTGTAAATCACACCATGCCTTGACTGCACTGATCATGCACATTATCCGATCAGCAAGTGGACACAAGCTATCGCACAAGCTCTTACATTCAATACAGTGTGGTTTATCTAAAGCATCTGAGGATAGGACAATACAATCTCCCTCTGTGGTGTAGCAGTCTGTGTGTATCTATATGAATCTTGGTAGTGATTCATAAGTATCTGAAGGTGCATTTGTACAGTCAGAAGCCAGGGCAATAGGAAAGGGGCTCATTGCAAATGCATCCTCTGTCAGCAGCATTTTTTTTGTTTAACACCAGAGCGCCTCGAGGACTGCAAATGTGAAATGGCCCGTTTTGGTGACTGTTTGCGCTGGCTTGCTGGCTGCGCTTAATGCAGATGGAGAGTATGTACAGTGGTGCTGAAAGACGTTCAACTTTGATTCAATCATTTCATGGGACAACCACAGATCTAGGTTGTGTGTTCAAACTGCTTTCCAAATGCAAGTCTTCATTTAAACACACAAGCTGAATCTTGGCATCATCACCAGAATCGATTGGATCGAAATGGAACGAGTCCTAATCCTGCTGTACATCCGTGTCTATGCAGATGGACCAACTCTTCCACTGTGAGCTGGGAGAAGGTGCTCAGACTCTGCATGATTTAAGCTCTGCAGCAGCAGGCGGACATGGTTATATAATGCAAAAGCCTGGGCCTCCCATGCTCAGCAGTCGACATGCTGAGTGGTATGCTGCAGCAAGCCATCACTGATGGGAGAGAGTGAGGGGCAGCAGTCGGCTAGCACACAGTACTGTACCTCAATCAGACCTGAGCTTGGAGAGAAAGGGAGAGAAAGAGCTCGAGAGGAGGAGGGTCGGGGGGGGAGAGAGATATATGCAGAACAAAAGATCGAAAGCAAAAGAAGCGGAGCGAGAGAGAGAGAGCTGGGAAGAGAACGAGAGGGGAGGGGGAGGAGAGAGAGAAACGGAGGAGGAGAAAGATGGAAGGAGAAACATACACGAGGGAACCCACAAGCGGCGACAGACTGAGACGCTACAACTCCACAATCATGTCTTTGCTGGGACAACGAGAAACAGGAAAGGCCGATTTGGCTGGAAGGGTCCAGTTGGCCAGAATAGAGAAACAAGTATGTGTGTGTGGAGAATTGTGTGCATCATCTCATTGTGGGCAGCAACAGAGCTGTTTAAAACTGGTCCACAAGAGATATTTACAAAGAAGGCAGAATCTGTGGTCAGTGATCAGGTTTAGAATCTCAACAAAGTATGTGTGTATTGTCTGGATATGTGTATAGATTCTGAGATGCGGGGCTGAGGTGGGTTCTCTCACCACGGAGTTGTACTGCGTCTCACAGTAAGATCTTACTGTGAACTCCATGTCTTCCTCCTCCTTCTCCTTGACTGGTTTCTCAGGCTCCTCCTCCTCCTTCTCCTGCAGATAGGCCTCCTGATCCTGGGGCATGTAGGACATCTCATCCTTGTTCTTGAATTCCAGGCTCAGGATGGACGGTGGCAGAAGCAGCCCTAAGATCACCTGGGTGATTCGGGAGAGAACAAGCGGAGGTGGAGGGGAGTTAGGGAGAAGAGACAAATCACAGATGTGATGTACAGTTTCATGAACACCGCTGTGGCAAATTAGGGCACAGAGAGCCTGGAACAAACCAACCTTTATAATCGGTCCGTAACACGCACACGTGACACTCACAAAATACAAATTCATCTTCGTGAACAGCTGAATGACAAAGCTTTGGTATTTACGATGGCGCAGACAAGGGTTCTCAGTGTGGAAGTCAATTATAAAAGCATTAGTCCAGACAGGCGGGAAGAATACCATCCGCTACGATGGATGAGAAGGACATACACCCACAGGAGATAAAGGAGGCACGCATGCTGTAAACACTTCAGATACACAACAGTCGAACAAGAACGTAAGCACTGAGTAGAAGAGGCTGTAGCCGCAGTGGGAAGGTGAAGAACGAGGAAAAGAAAAGAAGATGGAGAGCAGCACAATCAAGTGTCTCCTTATCTCTGGCAGCAGCTGCCTCTAATTTAGGAGTAAAATTTCCGCTGTTTTCATTGCATTCATGACCGTCTCCAAGGTAGGGCTGAACAAATTTAAACAATGTAATTAGCAAATTGCAAAGGCCGCAATTTAAGATATGTTATTCTGCACCTTTGACCCAGTGCTGTGTCAGCACTTTTACAAATTTATGCCATTCTCCTTGAGTGACAGTCACACTTTCGATGGCAACTTGTGTGTTAATTCTCCATCTCCAATTCCATTACACAGTGCATACAGACTTAAACTTATCTGTAAGGTCCCATCCATTAAATCCATTTTTATTGTGTTTTGTGGTTGTTATGAACTCGGAGCTGTAAAATAAAAACTTTTAAGATATAAAAACGCTGGTTCTTCCATTCTTCAAGCCCCAACAAGGCCTCCCAGCTTTACAAGCAAGTACGAGTTTTTCTCAGCTGCTACACACCATCTGAAGAACTAATAGTCGTCTGGCTCAAACTTTGCATAATCCTCGTTCCTCGCTGCCTGCTGCTTGACTGGTGAGCCATTCAGAAAGAGCATCTGCTTCACAGTCCACCAGGTTTATTTACTCTCTAGAGCTGCTTCTGCCAAATGTAAAATGTCTTAACCACGAGCAAAGCACACGAAATGTTCTGCTAGAGTGAACACAAGCGTCTTCATGCACTCCCAGCATCTGAGGCGCTGAAGATCCAGTGGACTATTTGAGCTGTAGTTGAAGTAATATACTGTTTCAAATAAATCTCATTCATCTTGCCATTTTCATGATGAATAATTTACTTTTGCTGATTCTATCAACTTGAAATTACAGTTTGTCTTTTTAAAATGCTCATCAAATTTTAGCAAAAGTGCGAAACTAAGTTTACTGTTCTTTCAGTATTAGGCATCTGATGCCCATGTTTCTTCAGATTTTTCTGCTGAACTGAACTTCAGTTTTCTTCAAGTAGGATAACAGGGTAAAGAAAAGCAAAGAACGGTAAGTCCAATGAAGAAGTTGTGTATGTTTGGGTAAAGCAAAGATTTGGAAAACTTGAAAAAATCGGAAACTTCAAGTTGACTTTTCTAAAAATTAAATTACAGCAATTCTCACTCGAAAGGAATCAAATGATTTCAGTATAGAATATATACAGCATATATATAGTATATCTAAATTAAACCAGCAGCATTAGTAGTACTTGTTCACTGAATTAGGATAAAAGTAATTCAATTGCATGTTACCAATTGAAGCAATTCATTTAAGTTGGTGCAATCATTCTCTTTTTTCAGTGTAGGAAATCCTTCGTGTTAGTACATTGTGCATCTAATATGTTTAGCATCCTCATTAGCTTTTATTGTATGCCCACAGGTTATAGCTCTGTGGAAATTGTAAAGCTGAGGGACATTCAGAGATAATGGAAACTTTAAGACCAATCTGAAACCAATAAACAAGAACTGGGTGGCAATAAAGGACTGGGTGGGTTATTGTGTGGTAATAACCACGGCTCAGAAAGTGATGTCTCTGCTTCTCGTGTCATCGGTCACACAGAGAGGTCGAAGGCAAAAAACGTCAATACTATGTCAGACTTATTGATGTGTGAAGAAAGCAGCGTAGTCATCTTTGCAAATCACAGTCCGTTTGCAGCCTCCGGTAAGCAGATTCTGATGCGAATGACACTGTTGAGTTTAGGATGACAGCCGTTGCAACTATAGCAACTTGGAAATGGGCACACATATTATTTTGACAAGGTTATTTTGTGTATATCATGAACTCCTGGGGGCAACGAATCTTGTTTGTTCCACTTGTGGTTTCCTTTCTTTCTTTCTGCTCCAATGACTTAGCTGCTCACTCTGTCTCTCTCCCTCGTACAAAGGCCAAACCGGACTTAGAGCAGTTGCAGCCTGCCCTGCTCTGAGAGTCGAGCCAGCCAGACCCATCATCCTGCCTCGCTCGGTGTATGAATGAGTGTGAAGCCAGCCTTCAGCGAATCCCAGGGCAACTGTTCATTATAAATAACTCTAACCTCTGATCTGAGCAGCTGCCTCCTATCACCCAACCACCAGAAATCCAAGAGACCCACATGAGCAAATATCAAGAACCAGTGATAACTGAAACCTCTCCTCTCGACTCAAAAAAACGTTCACCATGTGAGTGATGAGAAATGTAAAATTTATGGGACACAATTTCAAGTTTTTCTTTTGTAGTAATTAAGGTCAGTTCTTGTGTCCCCTCTTAGATGAGAGAATGCTTTGTGGGCTTACTAATTAAGCTGTGGCAGTAGTTCAACCATGAGGGTCACCTTTCCAAGACACTCGGCACGCTGTCTCTCCAAAAATATTATTGTACAATAAACCTCCTTCCTCTGGCCAATCCTTCTCCTCACCAGTGCAGGCAAAACTGACATGCTGCACTTCAGGTCTCACATTATCCTTAAGAACCGCATTTCACCTACAAAGTCTACCCGAACAATGAATCATTTAGTCATAACGAATCTTTTTAATTTAACTGAACTGTTTACACATGTACTCGTGCTGTCTCTTTAGGCAGAAACACCCTGGAGGACGTGAACTAACTGCGAACGCTGAGCACCAGATATCTAATAGCTTTCTGTTATTGAATATAACAGACTGCTGAGTAACCAAATCTACGTCTTAAAAGATGGAATTGTTAGCAGGCTGTCCTTGCTCCATCGGGAGGCGGATGTGGGTAATGTAACGTTTTTTTACTGTCAGTGATGACCTGTTTAGTTTTCACAGTCCAGTTCACACTCTCTAAATCCTGGAGAATGAGTCACTATGGCCTCAGTAGTGTGTCTTGTTAATCCCTCATTAACAGAACTTTTTGGATTAAGTTAATTTCTTTCACTTGTGTGGTTTAAGGACATGACGATGGCATTGTATGTCTACATTATTTCTAATTTGAAAACTGGCTGATGTAGACTTTTTGAGGCTCGTAATTGTTGTTTAACAGCTCAGAATTGCGATCAAGATATGTGCAGATGGATATATTCCTATGTTTTGGAGAGCTACAGTCTTTTTGTACTGAATTGTCTCGTTACTTACCTCCCAATGCACAAGTCAACACAGTAAATGCAGGTATGTACTTTTAAAATGGTTATACGAGGCAGGCTATACTTCTAATCTAGGCATATCATACCCAAAGCTGCTTACAGTTTTTTTGGTTTTCACCCAAAAGGTAATCAGCACTTCTCTCTGCTTCACATCCCTGCAGTTTCACACAACCACAGCTGATTGCTGTCATGTCCAACAACTCTCCACCTCTCTGTAAGCCACTTGGCAGAACCACAGGAGTGATCTGGGCCACCTCCATGGTAGCTTCTTTGGGATGTGAGAGGGTTTCTCATTACCGTTCAAGCCCAAATTTTCTCAGGCAGCCTAAGGGGATTCAAGCATTCCAAGGGAAGCGTGCCTCCAAAGTTTCAAGTTACAGCGACAAGCACAGACATTTTATTTGCTGTAGGTATAATTTTGTTTACCCACAGGTTATATTAAACATCTGCCCCACTTGCGCTACCTTCAGGCCTGAGTTCTTGCGCATGCGCAGGCGTCCCATCCACATGTCGGTCAGCAGCATCTGACTGCAGGTGTGAGCAATGAAGTCTCGGTGTTTGGCCGCTACCGCCAGCTGCAGGCAGGTGGCGTTGCTCCAGTTCTTCAGCTCGTATGTCAGCAGCTTCATGGCCATCTGCTCGTCCTGTTTATAGGACTGGTCCAGGAGCTCCACTGCCAGCTGACCAAACTCTCTGGGAAAATATAAGCAGGACATATATAAGCACACCGAGTCATAAACTGAGACAGTAATATATTTTGTACAAATGTGAGGAAGTAATTAAACTGGTCAAGACATAACGGACCATCTGGGAAAATTTTGCGAGAGTTTGGATTTGCATACTTTGACACACACACACATACACACACTGGGATATGAAATGCTTGTTATTTATTATCATTGATTTGAATAAGCATACTGAGCACAGAACGCGGTGTCAAGGTTTTAAAGTTGCAGAATTGTCAATCTAATATTAAATATTTCTTTGACAAATTAAGCAAAAAAATTTGAATGAATGTGGATATATGAGAATGTAACATAGCCAACACAAACACATCTATAAACACAGCCGTAAACTGTCAGATATTCAAAATGAAAAACAATCATAAACCCCCATCCCTTAGTCCATCACTTTAATGTGGCCTCTTCCAGACAATAAACACGTAAATCAATACTCTTGGATCAAGTTTCACCATTTTTTTTCAGGCTGAGTGTATGTGCATGTCTACTTGCAGGGGGACACACACACACACACACACGCACACATGCAGCGCAATATTTCAGCCTGCACTGAAAAGCAATCAGTTTTGTGTAGTTTAATGTGTACAACAAGGCACTAACACTGCTGGAGCTTGGGGGGATTTAAAAAAACACAAGGGCTTACAATGTCACAGATGCACAGCACACGACACAGTTCAGCACTTTTTCTGTTTCTGTGAGCTACTTTTCAAATAACTTGTGTATGCGTTCTCATATAAAAGGCAAACATTGCAACAGTGCCTTGAAAAGCAAAGGCCCACACAGAATGTATTACTGTACATATATATATATACACGCAGTACGCACACATATCACAAATAACAAGCTCACACAATGTCCCTTGAGTTCATACAAACATGCACGGAGACATGCGCGCAAAGACATTCGCAAACAGCACACCCACAAATTATGTAAAGATTACGTGAAGATATAAAAATGTATGTAGTTAAATGAGCTCTTCGAAGGAAGCCAGCCAAATTCTCTGTGGAAAGTACAACTCAAAATATGCCAGCTCTAAGGCTATCCTTTGATACTGTGTTTGTGTGAGTGTTGAGGTCGGCGTGGCTCTGCTTCATTTGTAGTATCTAAAAATTTTCCCCCTTAATTAACAGTTATTTCCACAGCCAGAATTTTCTTATCACGCATTACCTTAAACTCAAATGCATACCCTTGACTAACAATGATGCATGTTGTTAGAGTTCTGTATGTATGTCACTTGTCTCCCGTGAGAGCCTGGAGTCATCTGAAACAGGCCAGTTTGCAGGGAAGAAGGCATGTTAGTGTGTTTGTGTGTGTGCATCTGCCTACACATGTTGGAGTGTAGCGGCTCCCAGTTCAACTTTTCAGTAATCATTTAGTGTAGGGATGCTTCTACGTTTCCAGTCCTGCTCAGAACTACAGTATAAATCATGCATGTGTCACACAATATTGGAATATCCAACCACACAAGCAAGCAGAGAAAGATATATAGAGAGAGAGCGAGAGAGAGAGTATGTAATTCTTATCACCCACCTGGAGTTGTGGTTTAGTTCTTGGGAGATGTCATCCACCATGTCGTTCTCAGACGCTTCGTGTGCCATGGCCTTACAAAGCTTGCACGCCACCAAGGCCTTGGCCATCGCCTCTTCACCGTGCTGCCAGAAGAAAAGGGCCATTTTCTGACGTTTCATGAGCACAGCCCACACCATCAGCTCGTGGAAGGGGAAAGGGAAGTGGTTGATTTCTGGGTCATCCAAATCAATGTCCACCTCTTCTTCTCGTTTGCGTGTCGTCTTCTGGCGGCCTCTGCGAATCGGTATGTCGTCCTGGTGGAGATCCATAACAAGGGAAAAGGATGGGGAGGCAGAGAGAGAGAGTGATTTATGCAAACATTCTTCTTGTGATTTGTCAGACTATATTCTTTGCTGTGGTTTCAGGACAAGACAACATAGGAGAGTTTCTAATTGATCCTAAGCTTATGAAATGAAAAATTTCGATCTTTCCCATAACTTAAAACTCTACAGAACTCTTTCTGGGTTTTGCAAAATCAGGTGCACACCTAAACTGATCACAACCCATTTTAGGATTTCATATTCTATTTATAAAAGGTCTCACATGTGGTGTGAAAGTTAGGTTTGAGGAGACACACAGGGGCACACATTGTTCAACACAAAGCGGTTTAGAGGACACCGGACTCATGATTCCTCATTATCATTTAATGTAATTTTTCTGTCTCTGGAGAGAGAGAGAGAGAGAGAGAGAGAGAGAGAGAGAGAGAGAGAGAGAGATGCTACAAGTTAGCCTCTGAATGGCATCTCAGCAGGGCTGCATTGATACCCAATAATTTCACATTTGAACTGCTGAGGACTACTGACAGTTGGTCGATTGCATCAATCTGAATAATGACTTTCAGTGCAATGTTACTTTGAGAGAGATTATCTGGACAAAGAAAAATGATGGTACGGCTGTAAATTATTCAGTAATTCTAGATAGTGGAACTCATTTATATTTCATTTACAGTTCTAAATGTACATTTATAAAAGAGTTTATGATTTTATGGATACTGGGAAATGATTGCAGTCTTGTGAAGGTAAATCTTCAGTAATCACGATTGTCAAACGTTAACAGCAATAAATTTAACATACTCTGTTTCACTGACAGGTTGCCACACTGATTGAATGATAAATTGCCTTAGCTAAAGGGAGCAAAGCATTAAGGGAATTAAGTCGACTTTAACAGGCAAAAACTAGACAGAACACACACTGACACACAGGGGGATGGATTTCAAACAGGCAGACACACAAAGGAACGGACGGCCATGCATGTTAGATATGAATACCTCTGAGACACATGCTGTGATAAAAGCTTAATACTGTGGATTCTTCATGGTGTGTACACCATGAAAACATACGAGTACATACATCACATATTATGTGATGCTGTTTGGTCAGTCATTACCTATTCAGTTCAATGTAACGGCTCTGAAATGTGTTAGAAGAGATACGCAGATTTAAAGTGTCTGGAGTGTTAAACTTTGATGTGATCAAAAGCCTTCTTTCATTTCATCAAATCTGAGAAAAAATGAAAAGTGAAAACTACTTTTGTTTTGTTTAGATAACTGTTTGACAATAAGCCTTGAGCTGAAGTGCATTCAGATTGCCAGCAAAAGAAATTAAATATACCTCAAAGACTTCCTTTCAAAGACAGCGAGGCACACAGCAAACACTGAACAGCTTTTTTCCTCAACAGATTGCAGACAGACTACAGATGCAACAAATGCTACAAGTGGGAGAACTGGAGGGACGAAGCGAAGGAACAGTGACGGAGTGATTGGGTAACAACCTTGAGGAGATCAACACTCACCTCCATCCCCAGCAGTTTCAGGGCCTTGGGCTGGAAAAGCAACACAGACATAAACAAACAGAACAAGACCTTGCTCATTCAACACCTTGTTGAATATATTTTATAGTGCAATTTACTGTACAGGCACAGCACAGCACAGCACAGACTTAAAGACAGACAGATTCACTCACATGAGCTCAGAAATGTAGTTTAATACAGTAAATCACTCCGTTTCAGTTCAATGGATTTCTTTAAAATGCAAAACGACACAGAGCGACAGCATGTGGAGCTGGTGTGATTGACAGTATGCTACACATATGGCAATAATCTCTTACAATTGCATGCTTGCATGTATTAAAGCACAGTATTTTTGTGCATTTGGTACAGTACTGTGTATCTGTATTAAAGCAGGGCATGTATGAATTATGCATTCATGAGCCATCATCTGAGTTGGTAAAAATAACCCAGGTTTCCTGTGGGGATTTTGATATCTACATCTATTTCAAGGCTTTGTTCTTACTTAACATGTGTTTGTGCGTGCATGCACATGACTGTGTGATCGCGCATTCACTTCATCTTGAAAATCACAGTTAAACTGGAACTGACTCCCGTTCCCTGCCTCTCTCTTATTTTGCCTCTTTGCTCTGTCTCCGTCCTGTTTTCTTTGCTAGCGCGTTATCTGCGCCTTTCCAGCTGCTTTGTTGCTACCACGCCATCTCATACAATGAGATAAACAGGCGCACATGCACGCACGCACACACACAGAAACACACAAACACACATAGTCAAACATGGCGCATCATCGAGCAGAAATATGCTGTTTCACACACAACTCTATTTTCATTACACCTGTGGCGGTGAGTGAGTTATTGAGGCGGAACGAGAGAATTACGCATCACAACAGCAGAACATGGGCATCTATCATGTAATGTGCGGCGTGTGGGGTGTAAAACACACAACCGCCAAACACCGGGCCGTGATTTCAGTGATCGTGTCCTCCACTCTTGTGGAGTGTACTAATCAGCGAGATGAGCTTCTGCAGGAGTTGTAATGAAGTGTATATATTCTCAGGATCATCACACTCATGATGAAGAGCTGCTGCTATAGACGGATGATTTGTTGCATCGAGCTCGCGCTGGCTTGTGCTGTGACGCCACTCAACTTGATGTGAAAATTAAAAAAAAAAAAAACAGGGAAAGAAGGACTCTTAAGTTTGACCTCTGCTGATGAACAACACCTTAATCGTGTGAAATTATAGGTTGTGTTGACTGAGGGAAAACTCTGCAATCGAAAGGACAAAATGATTTTGTTAACATCGTATTTTTCTAAACATGTCATGTCCATACTTGAGTTCTTCGTTTGGTATATGCGGCTATGTAGACTTACATCCCATCCCTGTGAGACACGAGGTACCAGCTGCAGCCTTAATGAAAATGGCTTGAACTTGTTAGTTGAGGCTTATACACTGTAGATTCTGGACATTGATTTTTATTTTACTTTTATCTTGTTATTAGACACTTTGCAACCCAGGTTTTGCTGGCAGTGGGATAAAAGAAATGTAATAAATAAACTTTTACTCACTTTTTAGGCTCTATCTATTGCCAGAAATGTGTCTTTGCTGCAATTACAGTTTAAAAAAGCTGATCATCTGGGTAAAGGAAGGATCATGATCCACTTTAGGTCTTAAAATCAATATAAAAAATGCACTACACCTGGAGCACACTGCAGATTAAGGTCTCATGTATTTCCTGCTCATTGCCATGTCACAATCACCAACATTTACATGTACATGCTAATTAACTACTTGCATCAGCAAAGAGGATTTTACCCCTGAGTGCACCATCCCTGATTAACATTTTATTATTAGAATATAATTTGCTAATATTATTCATCTTGCCCTTACCGGCCAAATTTGATCATGAGGTTCATTTCACTGACACTGTTACTGCGATTAATGACATTAGAGGTGAAATTGATTAAATGGCAGGATGCTAATGAAGCAAAGAGTCATTCGCTCACCCTCTTAGGTCCGAAGAGGTTGTGGTACAGAGTTCTGAACCTCTTCCTGGTGTAGTTACACCGATACGCCCCGCCCATGAGGTATTCGATGACCAGTCCAATGTCGATGAGGCTGATGCGGTAGTCCGGCGGCAGGTTTCCCTAAAAACCAAACAGTGTTACCAGGCAACAATCCACACCAACCGATTAACAACAGGAAGGGAAACAAGAGTACAAGACAAGTCACACAGTCTTACACACTCACTTCACAAAATCCATATCAAACTGTTTTTGGCTATGAAAGAAAACGTGATTATCGGATTCACCTTGAAGTAGATCCAACTGAACCCTGGATATTCTCGCTTGGAAAGAGCACACAATGTCAGTGAGTAAACCGCACGATAAGCAAGAGCAGGGAAATGAGACACACAGAAACTCTCAGGCCAGATCTCTCTTCCAGTCTCTTTATTGAATTGTTATCTCAACCAGACTGTGGATCAGTTTGTCTTCTTGTATTTTGAATTCTTTCAGACTACCTTGGTCTTGGTTTAAAGGTAGAAACTTGAGGCTATTCCCCAAGTTTTAACCAAAACACTGGCTGAACCATAAAACAGGCATAATTTGAGGCACAGTAATACTCCGGAAAGCTTTCTACAACGTGACTTTTTTTAAATCGCCAAACTGTAACGCCTTCGCTTAAATTCAATAAAGAAGTTCAAAATGAGGAGAGAGTGAAATCTCAGGTGCGTTATGAATTAGAGTAATGTCTGAGGACAATTACAAAAGATGTAAAAAATTGAATGATTTGTCCCAATTTGCGTTTAGAGAAATAATGAGATCTTTTCGGTGAGGTTCATTGCAGTCTTGAGGAGAGGGAAAGGGAAAGAAAGTGGAAATGAGTCATTAGCCTGGAAGAGAGCGGCAATAGCACGGAAAGATAGACAGACGGCTATTAACGCTGGAGGGGAGAATCATTATTGAAACAGGAGTTCTTTCATGTGAGGACTATAACCATGTCGACACTCGCTGCTCTTCCTCATGCCTTCAGCATCAACCTCAGACCCTGTAGGCATTATTCTGGCCCCTGCTGTTCCTTTGAGATACACCAGTTACCTGACATCTCTTTTCACCCACCCTGACACCATCTCCACTCTTCTGTAATCAAATGTGAGATCCCTGCTCACCACCACTTGATGGATGCTGCCCTTCACACAGTCAGGTGGAAAAAATAAGTACATCCCAGGGATATAGTTGGCCTTCTCGACATATTTGGACAAGCAAACATTTCATCTTCTCTGAAACAGTGGCTGTTAACTAGGATGACATTTAGCTTAGATGTGATGTTTTTCTGTGGCGTCAGAAGCTAGTATTGCCATTCTTAGAAAAAATACCTTAACAGGTCGGTGTTCTGCTTAATTGTACACTATCTCCGATATTGGTTTGCTGAAATTTGAACCTGCTCTTCCATGAAAAATTCCTTCAGTTGCAAGATATTTGAGGTCTTTATTGTATGCATGTGCTGCCTATTATAAATCCACCCACAACATTTCAAGGGATTTAAATCTGGGCTTTATAGGGCAAGCCGTAACCTTTCGACTATTTCTTCCTTTTGAGCGATTTCTTTGTGGAATTGCTATCGTACGTAGGATCACTAATTGGTAGAATGGTTCACTTCCAGTTCAGCTTGAACTTTTGGACAGATGGCATCATATTATCTTCAAGGCCCTCTGATATGATGCAGACTTCAGAGTTAAATCAGGGGCATGCTTTACAGTTAGTGTGAGGTTCTCCTCCTTAAATGCTGTCATTGGTCTGCACCAAACAGGTTACTGAGGTCAAACAGCCCTATCCTTGATTTGTCCATCCAGAGTGCATTCTTCTGTGAGGCCTGATTTTACATTCATGGACACATTGAAGTTTTGCTCTGATGTTCTTTTTGGACATGAAAGGTTTTTCCTCGCAGGCCTCCCATGCAGGTCATATGTGAGGAATTACTTTCTGATTGTAGACTATGCACTGTGACACCAAAACCTTAAAGAGCAACCTGCAGATTCTTTAATAAAATTTTGGTGTTCTTGAAGACTTCCAAAAGCTTTCATCTGAAGGCCTTAGAGAGCTCTTTAAAGCTTGGCACGATGACACCACACACTTGAAAAGCAAAGAAAACAGCAGACTGTAGATGTCAGAGGTTTAAATGAGATAAGCGCTCCTGTCAAGGGCAAAGAGAATCACTTATTTTCTTGTCCAAACATGTTGAAAAAGTTAAGAGTTTCCAAGCATTGTACATGACTGTAAATTTTGGTCTGTAGCATGCATATACATATGCATATGTACATACATATACATATACATATACATATACATATACATATGCATATACATATACATATATATATATATACATATGCACCAATCAGTGGTCGGCCCCTGTGGTGCTCAAGCTAATAACTGTGTACTTACACCTTGTGTGAAAACACACTGAGAGCCTCAAGTGCTGCAGTTTTAATTTTCCAGCATAGCTGGTAAACTCGGAATCCTAGCTGACTTACAAATGAGGAAGCTTCTCTACCGGAACAACTCTTCAGTTTCTCTCTCCTGCCTCCACAGATCACAGCGCAGGAACTCACCACAACACTTCAGACCATTTGCTTGTGTTTAGGGGTATTTTAATCCAAACCAAAACTCTGGAAATTTGTTAGATAAGATAATAGGTAATAAAATATATAATGTAATGTACACAAGGCCAGTATTTCTCAAACCAGCTTTAATGATAACCTACAGCTCTAATCAGCTACCAAAACATTGCAGCTGATTTCTGGTCTCTCAAGCAAACTTAGAGGTAAAACCATCCATTTGGATTCCTTCCCATCCCCTCCTGATGTGTGAGACTCAAGGCACAAGGTGTATTGTTACCAGCCTTTGGCGGCAAAGCTGCATTGTTCATTTACTCTGCAGGAAAACCAATTTCTGCTTTGGCAGCTGTATTTCACGATTCTCCTGTTTCTTGATTCCACTTGGATACAATCTGATGAACGCACCAGATTAAATCTGAAAGCAACCGACTTTGACCCTTTCCACTGCTATTAGCACAACACCTGCGATTTGAATCAAAATAATAACTGCCAATTGCTGACAGTGTGGTCCGACAAACTTCAGAGAATGATGAGAAGGAAAGGAAACGGAGATGACATGAAGCCTCTACCTGAGGGATAGCAGTTAAATCTAATTAGCATCATACCATGATACAAGGAACACAGACACTCAGCTACACTACCGCCACTACGTACAGCTCTGCAAAAAGAAGATGGTAATGTTATGCCATGCAATACAGTGTGTGTTGGGCATGTTAGTGAAATGGCGTAGCGAAATTGCATGTATTGGAAGCTGCATATTCTTTCTACACCAACATGAGATTAGAGTTGTGTTTAAAGACAGGGAGGAGGTAAAGTAGGGATGATTAGAGCTTCTTCAGCCACTCTCAGAGGACCATGCGGCATTACTGTAATCAGTAACATGCTAATTAATGAACACCTCTCGATACTAATGGTGATGTTGCTGACCTCTCCATCATCTCTGAACAGTGGGATCACTACTAATTGGAGCATGGACATGTGCTGAATGTAAAATCTGGGTTGTTGTCTTGTATCATCAGTGATCATCAAAGCACTAGAGGAGATGTGTAGCAAAATATAGAGAATACTGCAATGTTTTGAAATTTTTTGCAGCCACAACCTATAATGAGAGACAATTCCACTGGTTCATCATCTCGGTTGTGATGCAAAAAAAAAAAAAAAAAAAAAGCCTGTTTCATGTCAGGGATTGTGCAGTATCACTATTGCAAGAATCAGCCAATACTCTATGTAAAGAAGACCACACTAAGCAACGATGTTAGTAATACAAACTGCGTCTACTTCGTCAGCCTCACAGCATTTCCACTGTGGCCTCACTTTGCTCGAATTCAAGTTCTGTGTATAAAACAATATTTAATACATGTAGTGTTTTGTTTGCCATGCTGGTGTGTGCCTTAGAGAAAGAACAGAGTAAATTGCTGAAAAGTCATGAAAGGGATGAGAGTCGTGCACAGCTCTAACACAGCCACTGCAGCCCGCAACTCCAGCTGAAAGAGAAAAGCCGGCCTCTATTTGCAGTTACCAGCAACTAGGGCTACCAAAATGTAGATACACAAATCGATGCAAACAGAGTAACAGCACACACCACAAAAAAAAAGCAACTGAAACTCTAATGTAGTCAAACATGTCTTCTTTAATAAACAGCATTCCCATACAGTGTGCCCGAACAGCCACAGAGCTAAGGGGACGGCATTGATGGTCATACCTTTTTGACATCTCTGACGAGGTGGTACAGCGTGTTCGATGGTCCGTGTCGCTGTTGAAAAAAAAAAAAAGGAAAGAAAAAAAAAAAATGATACAACAGGCATTTAGAAAAATCCATGTTGTCACCACGGTATGTTTGCTTGTTATTACCGTGTTGTAGAGCTCCTCCAGTCTGGAAAGCGTGAGGAAACGGTGCATGCTGACTCCATTTTCAATCAGCAGCTTGACAAAGTCCACTCTGTCCAGAACTAAGGCATCCAGCATCGCCTGCTCCAGGGAACCGACCTGAGGCACATAGAAAAAAGAAGGCATATAATACACAGAATGTACGACAAGAGAACTGCATAGAACTGTTTTCCTAATCATTTTACTTCAAAACATTCTGAGCAGCATTTTTTGTTTGCTCCATCAGTGATTATTATTATCTACAAAAGTAACTGCACAATTCAAAACTGAGGCACAGTGCCAAAACAATTCTGTGCTAAAAGACCCTTTTAAACAAGGCAGTCCATAACATCAGCGAGAATGCAGTGAGAATAAACCAGCTGTGTGAATTCAATAAATACTGCTGCTACTGCAGTGTGTATATTCTAGTTTTTACTGTATATGCTTCTTACAGGCCACTGCTGTCCGTAGATGAAGATCTGACTGCGTGCGATGTCCACTCTGTTCCACGCTAGAGCCAAACTCAGCTGGTCCGGGGCTGAAGCATTGGCACCTGGTATGGGTCAGTAGGGATAATAAAGTTTCACCTTAGCCTCACAATAATCATCTCTGTTGTCATTTTTGTATTTACGGTAGTCAGAATCAGTGTATCCCTGATTGTGAGATATGTATACGATGGTGTTTTGGTTGCAGCTTTTTCGATTGTTTTAAACCAAACTGTCTGTATTTGTACTTTCAGCATTTGTTAGTTTTAATATGATTTGTACTCCATTATAGAGGGATTACATAGGCTAACGACAGGCACTTCCTCTACTGCAGCAACATGGCATAGAGCAGCAGCTTCATCTAACTTGGGGCTCCGTGGATCAGTGCTCTGCTGATGATCTGTGTCACCCTGTCAACTGAGACCATGTCTGCTCTGCTGCTGCCTTTGGCTGTGACTGTTATGTGTGTCTGCCGAGAAGAAGATGTTTTTGCATCAGTGAGCGACAGCTTAGCTTTTGTTCTTTTGATGTATCACTTAATTTAAGCCTCCCTGCATAAAATGTGGACTACAACAATGTTCCCTTGATTTTCTGTGTTTGTGAGAATCATTTTCTAGTACTCTGGTCCTCCAGTAACATCAGCATATCTGTACTGTAATTTAGAAGAAGAGCTCCAGCATAAGACAAGACATGAAAATCAAACAAACCAAGAAAAAACATTCATTGAATCTGAAAACAAAAGCACAAATATGGAAAGAAAAGCAGTGGATGGCGTGAGGAAATAAAGTCACGTCTCTCATCACTGTGACAGCTTTGCTTCGTCTCATTGCTATTTGGTAAAGGACAGATTGGCAGATGGAAATCTGGTGAGATATTCACAACCAGCAACAACAAGTCAAAGATTTTCTAAACAAAACACTTGATGGGCGTCCTGGGGGCCGAATGACTGAGATGAATACTGTATACTGTAATCACTATGTGGCTTGGTTCTATCCAAGGACATTTGTTCTCTGTCATTTCCTCTCTCTCTCTCGTCTCTCTTGTTTTCTGTGTCCGTGCCAACTGTGCATTACAGAATGAAAGCAGAAATGCCAAAAACAAGCAAAAGAAAATAAACCCTGTCATCACATTTCCATGCATCTTTAAAGTCCCTCTCCAGTCATTGATCAAACCCATTAAAACACGTCTCTGTTATGAAAAAGCTCTTCTTGCCTTCAAATTAGGATTTAGATATAATTCTACACCATAGGTTTTTTTTTCCTCTAGAATGTGTAGATCAATTAAATCCCTGCCTCTGTCCACCCACTCTCCCTCACTCGCTGCAGATCAGCACACCAGCTCATCAAAGACTCTGGTAAAACACTGTAGATGCAACACAGTGGCAATGTGTAATATTGGAGTAATTCATGTCTGAATATCAGAAGTACACTGCATTTGCAAGCAGGAAATGCTCAGCCATGCCGTTGACTGATTATTTCACTCATGATGTGTCTTCTAGCATATAGAAAACACCATATGGGGATGTTAACAGTGGCAAAAACCTGTTTTTCACCAGAGAAGCCTCTTTAAAATATTTTTAGAAATGACCCTGCAAATGTAACAAGATAATACTAACAGATTATCCAGTGTGAAACAGCTTCTTTGTAATGTGTTACAAAAAGCACTTCTCGCGTTTAAACTTTCACAGTCAGTCTGTTGGAGGTTATTTGTAGCTGTTTTACTTTTGCACTGACACACTTCAGTCACTGTTGACTTGTGAGATCTAAGCAGAGTCTGCTGTCGGCATTAATAATTTACAAGAGCAACTGCAAAGAGAAGAAATGAGAAAAATAAGGAGGCAGTTTAAAAATCCACTGTGAGGCAAAGTACAATGATAATCCCCTCAGTGTAAATAAGACCCTGTCTTTTTTAATATGCACAACACAGTGCTCTGTCTCTTACTTAAAGGCCTGTACAGAATTACTGGAGCTTAATGGTGGGAGTTCAGTTCCACTAATAAGATGCAGCGGCCACTAATAAGTGCTTTACTGGAGATACGTGTATATTAAAAGGCGGGGTGGTCCTGCTTTATCAAAAGGGGCTGTGACTTCACTCTGTCTGCCTGCAGGGAGGTTGAACTGAAGCCAACTTGCTTTATGTACCCAGTCTAGAGGATATTGACTACCTTAGACGGCAGACCATCAATTACTCCCGACTGCGCTCTCTCCCACCGTGAGTCTTTAGCTGCTGCTTCCTTCCTGCTCCGTCTTATCCCACTTCTCTTATTCCCTCGCATTCTCTCGCACAAGCTCACAATCATCGCTTCCAGTCTTTTTTTTTTTTCCCCTACTCTTACTCTGCACTCCACACAGCGTATTCCTCACTCTTCTGTGTTTTGTTAAGCTTCAGGCAGTAGCTTAGTTCTTTGGGCGAAGGAGTCTAATCCAGTGTTTTAAAAAGCTGCAGGCAGGATGTGATTGAAATCATTTTCCACTAAAAGCCTTAACACTTCTCATTCACTCCGTTGCATGTAAAATTACCATAATGCTGTTGACCAGAAAGCATTTTGGGCCCCTTTTCTTTGTGTTTTCATGTTTAAATTTCAGATTTCCTACTTTTCTTTTCCTCTCCGTCCCCCCCCAACTGTCTGTTTCTTTGATTTTAATTATTTCCTTCAGTCATTTATTTGAATACCATTTCTACCACAATGTGAAGAGAAATTATTAAAAAAGGATATAACAAGGTGAGCATAAACGAGGGCCAGATCAATAAACGGCATCAACAGAATGCATGAGTGAGAAATGGATACGCAAAGAAAGCAATAGAGCTAGAGGCGGAGATGAAGATAAAAATCAGGGGGTGATGCATGGGCCATGTACCCTGACTGTTGCACATAAATTATTTGACAGAGGCTCGTCTTTCGCTAGTCTAGTTTGGTCTTTTCTTTCCTCTCTGTGGACTACAATCATTCTCTAAGGAACAATTCCTGAGATAGTCAATCATATGCTCTGAATTGCCAAGCAGTCCCCCAGGGCTCACTGTTTCTTTGTACACATGCCTGAGTCTGTGCCATCTCTGTTCACATGCATAGAGATGTGTGTGTGTGTGTGTGTGTGTGTGTGTGTGTGTGTGTGTGAGAAAGTTGTGTGCTCCAGTTGGCCGCACTCCTTGAAGAAGCAAGAGCAACCATGATCAATACAAGCTACTGAACAACCAATCGAAAGTATGGATCCAGGACTCCTGTGTGTGTGTAGAGGGGCGGGTATGGGAAACAGTGAAGTGGGAAACGGGGCAGAAGAGAGGCAACTGTGGAGGCTTCGTGTAATTGCTGTGTCTACACTTGACAAATTTTCAATTTTGTAACCCAATTTGATCCAATTCACTGTATTTATTGGTAAATGCATAACAATTTGTTACAGCATATGGATTGCAAGCTTTTGCTAACTGCTCGCCAATGAGTCAAAATGTTATGAGCACTCAGTTAAAGTAAGGAGGACTGAGCAGGTATAAAGACCTGAACATCTTTATAAATGGCCAAACCCTGCTATGGACAGACGACTGGGTTAGAGGATGTTCAGAATAGAATGGTTAGTGAGGTGTTCCTGAGCTGTAGTGCTGCAAAGAGGGACTTATACTTTGCAAGTGTTATTATCCTGGTACCAGATACCATAGAACACTTTCAGAAGTCTTGTACGATCCACGTTTCAGAGCATTTCTAGCATCACAGCAGCATATGATGCAATGATTTGACTCACCGCTGCATCGCCCTGTATATTTTACTGTGCCATGCCCCAGGTGTGTGTCATACTGATGCCATGCTGACTGATTATTATGTATGTTGTGGTTTGATATGCAGAGGGAGAACCCAAAAAAGATATGAGCCTTAAAATTACCATTTGCTCATCTCACTGAAACAGTTCCTGAGACAGTCAATCTTAGACTCTGAATTGCTAGGCAGTCTCTGAGTGCTCACTGTTCCTCTGTTCACACAATATTTCCCCTGAATGGCTGAGTAAGATGAGACCTGTAAACCTCTAGATACACATAAAGATGAGTTACTTCAAGCTTGGACGGTGCAACATGAGTCACAATGCACATTCTTGGTTAGTTGTGAGAAATTAAAAGCTCAGGCGGCACAACAGCGTAGATGTTAAATCCATGTTGCAAAACGTTTATTGTCCTCATGAGAAATTAACAACTTAAACTGAAATATATTCTTCTAAAGAGACGGCACAAAGGAGACAGCTCTTTTCATAATTCATTGGGGATGGCAAGCGTCTTCCTGTAATTATTTGTCTCTGGTCACAGAGTTAATGAGCAGCTGTGTTCATGCTAATTGATGATTCTACAGGTGTTATTTTTATCTCGGGTTTTTATTAGCATACCAAGTTAGACACTGGAACTCTGCCTGAGACAGCTTTAACGCTGTAGCTGGTAGGCGACTAGAGCCGCCTCACATTTGAAGGAATAATTTACCGGCTACACGTGTAGATCAATACCACTCTCACGTCTGTACAATAAAGATGTAGCTCGAGCCAGCGTTCAGTTGACTTAGCAGAGAGGATGAAAACAGCTCGTGCAACTGTGCCCAAATGTAATGAAAGCACTTGAAACGCTTACTTGTTTGTTTGTTTACTCTGTGTAAAGACTAGAGTGGAAATATAGTATCATTGGTGGTTATGCCTTGGAGCAATTGGAAAAAAAAAAAACATATAGCAAGCTAAAAAGCATGAACATTTTCCCTAGCCTTAAACTACACATACAGAGGACTTTAGAATGATGCCCATCAGTGTCTTTTACACTAAATAAGAAATTGTTTTTGATAAACTATGTAAAATCAGTACCATCAAGACAATATTGCCAGTTTGCTTTGGAGTCTTCCACCCCAGGTGATAAAAAATTATTATAATGGAGCATTAAGAGAGAAAAAAACAAGCCTGGATTTCTACATTTTATTCCTCAGCTAAGAACCATGAAAATAAAAACTTGTCTGCTTTGAACACACACCTAAACTGGGACAGTGAGAGGAATACTTTCTGCAACAGCATCCTCTTTTTATGTACAGAAACTTCCCAATAACAACATTCCTTGAGGGCTGCAGTGAAACAGAAGCTGCGTACTGTACACTTATGCTACAGCACACATACACACACACACACACAGACACACACACACATAAATGCACACACCCACCTTTAAGTAATGCAGTGAGGATGGCAAGGTCAATGTCCTGATGACCCTCCGACCCCATCCGGAAAACTGTTATCTGAGAGACAATGAGAAAGAGATAGACACAGAGAGAAAGACAGACATGAGGATACAAAAGTGAGTGTGTCTGTGAGGAGTGATGCTTCTTTTTTTTTTTTTTTTTCTACACAAGCAAAACTGTTTGAAAGTGAATTTACTCTTGAGTCATTCTATTGTTGCTGGAGTGAATGTATCAAGGCTTACAGCATAAAAAAATTCAGTCACATCCTGAGTAGGAGTGCTCTCATTTGCTGGATTAAACTGCTTCACTAAAAACACTGCAGCTGAGGTGCACAGAGGAGGAAAGAGAGAAGTACAGAGGAATCGCTCTCATGTACTGTACTGTATCCTCCCTCTAGACTCTCTTCTGTCCTCTCTTGTCTCTTGTGTAGAGAACATCACAAAATCACATACATCTTGTTCCTCGGAGGGAGGGAACGGAGGGATTTGTTGAGAAGGCAACTAAGGAGAACAGTAAAAGCATGGCAAAAGGGAGAGATCAAACGAATATGAACTACTGGTGCTCTCCATGAGCTCTCCATGAGCACCAGTAGTGGACCATTCTGTTTTCTCCTTTACTGTGTCTAACAGCTTTCGGATTAGGCTTTAAGGAAACATTTTACTCTAAGGGCAGTTTAGGTCCACAGCTGTGTAGTCTGACAGGTCTTCCAGCTGCATATTTTATATCTTGGGATAGATGAACTCATGGTGCGACGGATGAAAGCAGAAGTCAGATGAGAGGAAAATCTGCCTTTTCTGAAAAATTTTTAAGTCATATGTGACGTGCATGCGTGCATGCACTGAGGTTAACGTGTGTGAGCACACGTGCTCATGTGTGTGCATGTGTGAAGGGCACCTTGTGGGAGCTGTGTACGGGAGAACGTGTGTTCTGAATGCCTGATGAGCCATTCCTCTAATCCTTACAACCACCCATCCATCTCCTCCCACCTCCCTCCCTGCAGCCCATCTCCCTTCCCATCTCCCCCCGCTAAATGGCTTCATTTCGAGGAGCTCCGGGAATCTGCAGGCAAGCTTTGCTGCTACTGTTGCTGCTGCTTCCCTTGAGGCTATGCTGCAATGTTGCAGGCTAACCCTCCTTGTTCTCACTTTATACCTCTCTCTTTTCACACAGGCTAAATGTACAAAAATAATTCAATTTACATTGATGATTTACAGTAGCTGCTGTGCTGGCTCATTCATCATCTGCACGGCATATGCTGATGACATGTTGTCTCCTCCCTGAGAGGGCTATGAGCAATGAAACATCATATAGTCTGAGACCTGTGTTAAACATTACAAACGCAATCACTAATGAGGGCAGCACTGAAATGTGTGTGTGCTCCTGTGTTTGCCGTGGTCACATGCCTGTCTAATCAAAGGGTCTTTCTCCAGGTAGCACAGGAGCACAATGAGACGTGAAGGTATCGATTAGGATCTTCTTAACCGGGGACACCAACGAGTCGTGCAGTGTGCAATTTCATTAGCTTCTCTCCGTTGTGTTACGCTACAGTGTGTGTCTGCATGTGTTTTAATAGTGTGGTCAGTGGCTAGATTATTATTTGCAAAAATGCATCTATGCCTTCACTCTAATAGATACCAACCACACATTTAGGGAGCCATCTGTTGGACACACATTACTATGGTCTAACTAAGTGAGTGAGTATGTATTTCAGAGAGTCTCTTTCACAGAGTGATTATGGCCGTCTGTGCTCTAATGTGGTGACTTTAAAGGTCAAACTATATGTATGCAAAGCTGGGATCTCCTAACAAGATCACGTCGAGAAATTAGATTAGATGAACAACTGAAGAGAAAGAGGGTCAAAGAGGAAGAGCGCAGTACCCACAATTTTAAAGGAATGTTCATATGCACATCTAATGTCACTCAATCAGTGCAGATTTGTGTTCTGACCATTTGTCCGTTATACCCTGTGGCTATTATTATAGTGGAGTGGAGAGTTCTCCTACACACATATTCCCTTGCACACATATACACACAGGATTCTTGGCTTCCTTCAGGACTAAGATGGATTAGGGTGCGATAGATGAAAGATGATTATGGAAGACGCTCACCATCGTTTCTACCTCTCTACCTTTTACCTCCACTCCTCCCACTGGCATGTTACGCCACACACACACACACACACACACACTCCGTGCATCGTTTGTCTACTTCCTCACTACTTCTTTGCCCCTCTTCACTTCCTCCAATTACACCCCCAAGGTGACCCTGTGGATATGTGCTACCTGTTATCATAGAGCCTCTACAGCTCAGAAGGCTGAGCAACATCTCCTCTGTGACAATGCAAGGTTGCTACTTAATCTCAACAATCCCCATAGAGAGTTATCAATAAGTGCGCGCCAAAGGTAAATAGAAAGCTTCTCTCTCGTCTATTTTTATCACCTGGTACATGAAAAGGTGTTGTCAAGTACTTACTGAGAGCAAACAAGTTTAGCGCAGTGGAAGACACAGCTCAGTGTTTATTTTTTTCCTTTTTTCTCATAGCATAAACTCACCCATCTGTTGTACATTCCAGCTGTCTTTTGACAAGAATAGAGGACAGAAGGGAACGATAAGAGGAGGGAGGTGAGCGGAGGCAGGGATTGGTAGGATAGACATGAAGCAGCAGCAGCAGGAGGACGAAGTGTTTGCAAAGCAAATAGAAGACAGAAGGAAGGAGATTCACTGACGGCAAACTGAAGATGGATATATATATATAAAGAAAGAGGAAAAAAGCTGCGCTATCTCTCTCAGTGTGGCTGGGCTCTGTCGAAGGATTCCCCCTTCTTCAGAGGCACTAAGCTACATGCTTAGAGGATCAGAAAAATGCTCTTCACACTCCAGCGAGCCGAGCTGATTGCAAAACATTCATCTTCATTTAATAGGCAAAGACCCCACTCATGCTAGTACATGTTCATACAAGACACATGGCACAAGCATTACTTGGATCACATGCAGCTTTCGTACACTGCTACAGTCCACACATCCTCTTCTGAAGCCTATACATTAACAAAAGCAGAAGCTCAGATCTGGTAAATCTCTGCTAATGGTTTCATCTGTGAGAATTTCTGCGTAAAATATTTAGATGTGTATTTATTTCAGAGATAAACTGTTAGCTGGCAGCCCTCCGCACAGCCACAACAGAGGAAAGAGGGAAATAAGTTTCTCTGTTCATGAAATTTTAAACTGATAAACTGCTCTGCTGATGATCACCCAAGGAATTGTCTTTCTCTCTGTTGTCTTTTTTTGTGGCTCAAACTCTCCATTGTACCTCATTTTCCCATTTTTCATTCAACCAAACCACATTTAAAAAATAAATAAATGTCTCCCACCCTCGCTCTTAGCCTCCATCTGTCCCTCCCACTTTTCCTTCCTCTTTCTCTCTCATGGTCCATTTAAGTCACTCTTCCGCTCTCCTCATCGTCCTCCTACTCGTTCTTAGTTTTTCTTGTCAGGAAGGTGGAGGAACATTGTGGGCTAGTGGTTCCTCCTCAATATTTAATCCGAATTAAACATATAAGGACGATTCTACATTCAATTATTTATGCCAGGCTTGGAGATACCAGGACAGTCATGGTGCAGCCCCCCTCACAGAGGAAGAGCAGGAGGGGGAGGAAGAAAACATCAGTATTCTTTAAATGAGACACTGGATTCACGCTTTTTTTTTTTTTTTGGCAAAAACAAGCCAAGTGACAACAGGTTGTGATCATAATAAAAGGTGTTGATTCTCAGTTTGTTTGACATTCACATGAAATTGTTTCACCTTTATTGTAGGTTATAAAAGAAGCACGATAAATGATATGCATAAATATAAAAGCTAATCACCCTTATTATCCAGACAAACTGAAATAATGTGGCATATGCTGTCTTTTAGAATTCTCTTTGATTTCAGTAATATAATTTTTTATCACTATGCTTCATACATCATTTGTCACCTCTGTGTAAAACTCAAGAGTCTGCACATAACCACAGTCAAAGGGCTCCGATGTGCTCAGGATGCAAGCTGAATTAAAAAAGAAAAAAAAACCTAAGCGTGTATTAAAAAAACTGCAATCAGGTATGTTACACTTGTGCTCTCCGCTCTCTACGTCTGATGGAAACAAATAACAGTCACGTTAAGTTGATGTGCTGGCTTGCTGTACATTTCTCTCTGTTCTGTCTCTCCCGCTAACCTAGCTGGGCACGGCATGTCTCGATCCGTCTGCGTCTTGCTTGTTTGCAGCCACTTCCAGGGCTTTGTTCTGTGACTTTGTGCCTGACAAAAGTGACAGTGAAATTCAGCTATTTATTTTTTGACAAACACGAGCGGACAATAGAGTTAACGCCAATCAGCTATAACATTAAAACCACCAGCAGGTGAAGTGAAGAACATTGCTCACCTTGTTACAGTGGCAACTGTCACGGTATGGGATGTATTGTATGAGGCAGCAAGTACACAGTCAATTGTTGAAGCTGATGAGCAGAAAGCACGAAAAATACAAAACAGAAGGATGTAAGTGACTCTGACAAGAACCAAATTGTGATCGCTAGACGACTGGGTCAGAGCATCTCCAAAAAAATAGGTCTTGTGGGAAGTCCGGGGCTCATTGAAGTGCATGGTAAGCAAAGGCTGTGTAGCTCGATCACACAGAAGAACAAAAACCTCAATGCTGGCTGTACCAGAAAGGTTTCAGAACACACAGTGCATCACAGTTTGCTGAATATGGGGTTGAATAGCTGCAGGCTAGTCAAAGAGCCCACACTGACCCCCATCCACAGTCGACAGACAGCACCTGCAACGGGCATGTGTGTCGTTTTCATGGAGAAAAGATGGCAGCATGATGTAGAAGGGGAGCTGGTGGAGGCAGTGTGATGCTCTGGGCAATGTTCTGCTGGGAAATCTTGGGTCCTGGCATTCGTGTTGATGTTACTTTGGCTCGTATTACATATCTAATCATTGCTGCAGACCACATACACCCCTTCATAGCGATGATATCCCCTGCGGTATGATGACATCAGCCTCGTTCAACAGGATTAGTGCC